TTTTTTTTTTGCAAGAAATAGGATAGGATAGGAAGGGTTGAATTAAATTATCTTATCTATCATTATAGAATCGGATAGTTATTAACATGTTAATTATAAGAGAAAACTTTCTCGGAATATAAGAGTATACACAAAAAAACAAAGTGTTATGAAAAAGCGAATTTTTCCATACAAAATAGCAAACTTTCGAAATGATTACATTGCTTCTTATTCGTTGTCAATCTGTTAGTTTAGATAACATAAAAAAGTTCCTCATTTTATCTTTTAACTATTCCGAAATGAAGATTACACATTCGGAGAATAAATTGAATTATACGATATTTTGTAATATATATTGTTGAATAGCCGCCGCTTCAAAGCATTTGACAGAAATAATGATTTGTTCCAAAAATAAATCCATAATTGTTCAATGCCATATAGATTATAGATATGTGAGATCAATTTTTTTTTGGGTATTAGTAAAATATGCTCTGCGAACAGGTTTTTCTTGAGACTCTGAGCCAAAAATCTCAACAAAATAAATGTTTGAAAAGTGAAATTAAATGTAACTCTGCTATATATTTTGAATTGACTAGAGTCATTAGACATTTATCACAATGTTATTTTTCTGAATATTTATTTGTTTGAGCTTTTGACTCAGACTCTCAAGAAATAACAGCTCTAAGGGCGTATTTTATTAATACCCAGTTTTATTAATCTCGATCCATACAAAACAATTCCAGAATTTATTCCTTTTCTCATGTTTTTTTAAATTTCTTTAGGCGACGACTAGGACTGTTATTTTTTGGTTCATTTCTCTTGAATTATGTTCTGATTGACGTGATTTATAAGATGATTTCGGTCAACATGACCCAAAACTAAAATTTGTTTTCGTAGATCTCTAGTACAAATTTGTATACTGTACCTTTCAAATCTTTAATGGTATAATAACAATCAAAAGTTAAGTACTACATTTGATTGATTTCATGAAATTTATATTCTCTTTTATATCATGCCTTTTTGTTTTACATATCAAGAAATATAATCTTTAATTGTTGATATAGTCATAAAAATTTTTCTATTATCTACTAAAAACTTTTGATTTATTATAGAAATTATATATATATAAATATATATATATATACCTTGATTACTTCGTTCAAGACGACCAATAGCATACCATATACAAGCAAGCCAATGTGCAATTAATGCAAATGTAGCCGTTAATAAAATTAAAACTCCAACACCATATTCAGAATATCGATCTAATTTTCTTGCTATACGTACTAATCTTAATAAACGTGCTGTTTTTAATAAACCCATTAATGTTGTTGATTCACCTCCACCATTTGTTTGTAATAATGAAAATAAAATATCAAATGGTATAGCTGCTGTTACATCAATTAAAAACCATCCTTTTAAATAATGTTTTGCTATTTTACTTGCACGTGTTACTAATTCTTCATTATGTTTAACATATGTTGTACGTAAATTAACTAATAAATCAATAATAAACATAACATCAACAATAAGTTCAATAACATTTAATGCACGTGATGAACGTGAACGTTGTTTATTTGGTCCATCTTCATGCATTAAAAAAGCTGCTGTATATGGTGTTACTATAGCTGTATATATAACAAGTAATAATATTAACCAATCCCAACCAGCTTTAAATGGTGAATAATGTAAAATAATTGTACGTGGTATACGACGACTATCTGGTGAACGAAAATCAGGTACAATATCTTCGCCTAATGATAAAATTTGTGCTATACGATTTGGTATAAATGAACGTTTAGTATTTTTTGATTCTTTTGTTTCTTTTTTTAGAACAGTTTCTATAATAGAAAAACGTATCATCATTTTTTTTTAGAAAAACTTAAAAATTCGTATTTTTAAATTTACCAGCTATATTACTTAAACTTTGAGATTTACTTTTCATTAATTCAACATTACCAATACTTGTATTCCATAAATTATTATCAGGTTTTAATAAATTGTTTGAACTTGTTGATGATTGACGACTTGTTTTATATTCTAAAGGTGCATTTTTTATTGTTGATAATGAAATTGCTTCATCCAAAGGAATAGTTACTATATTCTTATGATTTAATCCTATGACAAGAAAAATAAATAATTTAACAGACAAAATTAACAAATTCCTGCTTACATGTATTCTATTTAAGTTTTTTTTTTTGTATGTGTTTTAAAAAGAAAATAATATTAAGACATACAATGAAATTCAAAGACTGTCTTGAAATCAATTTTATCCATTCTTTTGAAATTCTATGTAATTTTCTTTGTTTTCTATTAATTATCGATTCGATTATTAGTTGGAAACAGAAATACAACCAATCATAATTTTTATATAAAAACTACTAGATAAATATTTATTTCCGTACGATTATATGTCATTTACAATTACTGATTGAGAAAAGAAAAGAAAATGGAAATGGAAATGACTTGTAGACTAGACGTTAATGATTTTTCATTTTACATAAAATACAGAGATATAAAAATAAAAAAAGATATTCCTTCTTTTACCGATATAACCAGCTATATCTGTTGACATAGGGCTTTCAAATTCACTTGTGCCTCCAGTTGTTGTATCATTGGATCGTTTTGATTTATGTCGTACTAATGGATTTAACATATGCAACCATGAGCGTTTGCGTATGCCTAATATGAATATCAAAAGAATAATGATACAAATAGAAAAAAAACATCATATACCAGCATGAGTAATAGAATATTCACGAATTTTTGCTATAAAAATCAATTATGACAAAATGTTTATCATAGAAAAAACAAAATACATACGAATTCGTCGTTGTCGATTATGATCATTACTTTCTGTGAATTCAAGAATATATAAAATAATATCGCATGATTCATTTTTCACCGGAGCAATAAGTACTGAACACCGAAATTTCATGTCTAGATGAAAATAAACGGAAATAATATTTTTTTTCTCTCTCTTTCTTATCACACATTCTGTTAACTAATATTAATAAAAAATATTTGAAACGTAAATTTACCATTACTCTTATATAAAATAATATCAACTTCTTTTTCATCACTTCCTTGTAAAGCATGTCGAATTTGTTTTGCAGCTTTTTCACTTGTTTCAGCTCCATGTAAAAATTCACATGTACAAGGTTTTTGAATTATATCTGCACGTGAATGTCCAATTAAATCGCAAAATGCATCATTACAATAAATTATTGGTTTATTTACCAATTGAGCATTAGATATAAGAAAACGACGATCTAATTAATTCATATTATATAAATATTGAAACGAAAAAAAAAAAATTAACATACTTTGCGAGTCGAATTTACGTATAATTGTATCAATAAATGTGTTTTGAGGAGCTGACACATGACCCCGTTTCATTGGCATTTTCGGCGGAATCTTATAATAGTATTGTCATCATCTTCAAGAAAGAACGGAAAAACAAAATGCACGCATATAACACGAGCCTAGGACGAAATAGAAATAGACTGGATAGGAAAATTTGTCTATATCAGGGCGTTAGGGAAAGATAGCATGAGGCAAGCAAAAAAAAAAAAAGAAGTATCTGACGTCAACTAGTGATACAGAAGATTGCATCACAATTGTATCATTAACAATAGCGATAAACTCAAGGTTGACTTTTAGAGATATATATACGTATATTCCAAATTCAACTATCTTATCGTTTCGAAAGTAAAAAAGAAAAAACCTATATGTCCTAGATAATTCTTTTAATCATATGTTGATACAATGCATATTTGTCTCGACTACATTTATCATAATCAAAAGTTCGTGTCCGTCGATTGCATAGATAAACTATGTTGACGAAACATCCGACATATTCTAAAGAGAAAAGAAAATACTAAAGCTATTTAAGATAATGTCGTCATATGCATGAATAAGTCAATAGAATTCAATTTTTGAATATATAATGCTTATGTTATAGTTAAAATAGAAAAGATGTTAAACATGTTGTTTACTTACGTTCGATAATGATTTACTTTTAGACGGAAATAACAAATTAAAAGACATGCGATCAGCAAAAAAAAAAAGAAAGAAAAGGTTCAAGGTTTGTAACAGCAAATAATGAATTTTCTATTATTATTATTTTCTTTTTTTTTTTTTTTTTTGGTATCTACTCTCTCTCTAGCTTTTAAAAATGTTTGGAAAATCATACTCGTTTATAATATTCCATCATCATTATTATAAGCGTCATGATTGAAAGAACTTCGTCTCTCTCGCTCTCTCTCTTTCCTTCAAACACGTGATCGGATAGACTGAGTCGAGAGGAGTAAAAGAGAAATGACTAAAAAAGTCTTTGCTACGCGAGGTTGCCTTCAAGAAAAAAAGTTTTCTTTTCTTTCCTTGATTTTTTTTGTGACGTATTCTTGCTAATATTCGCTTCATTTATTTTTACATACTCACTCATATATTTTTTTCGATTGTGTTATTTTAGCAAGTAATCAATATATATTGTTCTACTTCAAAAAGAAAAAACAAATACAAAAATTATATCTATGTGTCTTATCATAATGATTTGCATAGTATATATATATATATATACATATGTTCAAGGTATGCTTGACATAACGTCAAAATACCAATTGTTCATGTCATATTTAAAATGAACGAGACAAAAAAAAGAGGTTTCGTTAAGAATGATTAACTGACATTTAGGGAACAGCAATCAGGTATCCAAAAGACAGGTCATTTTGCTATGATTTCTATATAATATTGTCATAGAATAAATATCGATAAAAGAGACCGAGAGAGAGAGAGAGAGAGAAAATAGAGAATATTGGCCTTGTCATCACGACAGCAAATAGAATTGGTAAAGAAACTACGATTCCCATAGGGAGCACTCTTCTCTTAATGCGAATTGGCGGAATAGCAAGAAAAGAAGATCCATCTCGTTCCTTATCGATCTATGATTATCTTCATGTTTGACTACATATATTTACAAAGCGTAAATACGATAAAGATGAGCTTCTAGAATATAGAACAAACAAAGAAAGTATTCCTTATAGATTCAGAAGAATGTAACAACTTGTGCTACAATCTGTAATCTATGTTCCGAAACATACTCATGTGCAGTGATTAGAAGAAGAAAAAGAAAAGAAAAGAACAACATTCAATGTTTACAAGCAAGATTATTAGTTTTTTTTTTCTTCTTCTTTCTATTATTCGATGTATTTATTTAAAGAATAACGATGATGAAAATTTTTTTTTTAATATAAATTTTAAAATAAAGGTTTTTGTTGATCATTGATACATTCAACATGTTGAGCAGGTAAACAACGTTGTTCTTCAAAACTAAATCGTTCACCAAATGGTAATGCATCTTGTGTACATGAATAAGATTCTGAACTACGTTCAGATGTACAACGAAAATACATACGACAATCACGTAAACGATCTGGATATAAACCATCAGAATGATTTTTACAACTAGGCAAATATGAACATGGATATGCATGAGCTGATGAACGTATTTGATAATCACCTTTTTGTTTGTTGAGAAAAAATTTCAAAAGAAAAAAAAAATTATTTCATTTTTGCTTTCAAATTTACTTACAAGCATCTTTTGGTTCAAAACGATCTTTACATTTAACTTCTGTATAATTTTTACATTCAAGTGTTGGAATATCAAATAATTGTGGCATTGGACAACTATTAAGAATACGTTCGCCTGTTGTTTCAACACGTACAACATAATACCAACCACAATTTATTTCATGTGGAATTAAAATTGGTTTTTTTAATTCTAATAAAAAATACTCAAAATAATAAAATATCATTTATAAATGAATAATTTACTTTCTTCAATTTCATCTTGAATAATTTTACGAATACATTGATCAACATCACTGTCAAATTGATAACCCGTGGGACAATTAAGTAAAAATAATTGTCCTTTAACGCATACATAAAATTTATTTATTTCCGATTTATGTGGAAGAAAATATGGTTTATCACGTTTTTCACATAATAATGTTGATAAAGATTGTTGATTCATATTTGTCAGTATAAGATTATCATTATTTTTTATCGTAGTACTAACTGTTGTATCTGATTTATTCATGATACTTTGATCTTTTATCATATTTTTTGTTGTCATATCAATCATAATAGTTTTAGCATTGATCAAATTCCATTGAACAGTAAGAAGAATCAATAAAACTATTAAGAATTATAAATTTAATATATTTTTTGTTTTTTTTTTTTGTTTTTGCTACTTACCTTGAAGCATAATTGTCTGTCTCATCTTTCATATACAAAACTAAGAAATGATCAAGTAAGTATTTATTTTCGAATGTCTAATACTATTCAACTACCTCCTTCATTTTCTTTATTTAATCTAAATGCGTCATTGTATACATGACATTCAACAAGAAAGATAAAATAATCAAAAAAGATTCATTCAAATTGATTTAGGATTAGTATCGAGTCGTGTTCTTTTGGATAAATTAACGTAGGTAGACATGTATTTTATTTATCCGAAAAACATATACATTGTGAACATATCTTTAAGCTAATAAAACGCTCATTATTACATTCTTAATACAATGATAATTCTAGAAGTGAATCTATAATAGTTTGATGTCTAAATAGTGTAAGATCTAAATGATATATTTGAGTAGAAATGATATTATATTCATTTTAATAAGAGAAAATAAAAGTTTTTAAATTATTCATGTCGAATTGTTTATCATAATGTACTTGAAAATAATATTTACACTATATACGTTTACATATCATTGATACAGTAGATAAATAAAAAATAAATTAACTATGATTATTTAGTAGAAACAAAGTTCATGTGACATATACACGTCAATAATAATTCTCTTATGCAGATTTATAAATAATGATAAAAGAAATAAATTACTCGTGAAGGAAGTTTGTTAGATATATGTCATCTAAAATGATTTCTATCACATTAACGACGGATATAAAAGTTCTTAGCAGAAATATTGACTTTATTTTTCATTGACGAAGAGATATTTTGGAAAATTTAAAAACATTTATTTAGAATCTCTATTCAAAGCTGTATATTTCGAAAGAAATTCTATCACTTTTCATTTTTGAGTATTTAACAAATCTTCGAACAGCAGTAAAATCGTTACAGCAGAAGTAATTGATCTCTCAATATTTTTGGATTATCTCCTATGCGTTTCATTCTAATTCATTGCTCGTTTTACTTTATTAAATTCTCCGTTAAATTCTTCACACGCCTAGTAAGTAAGTAATACAAAATTGTTTTTTCGTTAACATGATGAAAAAATTTAGACAACAAGTATGAAAATCAGCACTCTATAGATCTTAAGACAAGAAGGTGTATAAGAAAGTTTCAAACACCTTTTCTCGTTTTGCTAGCTAATAAAGAATTGTTATCAATTATTAAAGAGGTGTACATTCCCTACTTCCGTTGGACTCAGTGAAAAATAATGACAGGTCTATAATTGTAATAGCACCATTTTATGAAAACATGTGCGATACTGTCTATATAAATACTGTCTCAAGTTACAAATATCTTTGCAGCAATTGTTTCAAACTGTTTTCTACAGAACACTTGATCATATGAACCGATATTGAGTCGATTCTTATATAATTCATTTAATAATGAGAGTCATTCATCAGAAAATAACGAAAAACTTTTTAAGATTTGAAATGATTAATCAATATATGAATACTTAGTAAATATTTTTTTTTGTTCGAATAGCAGCACATGATATTATTTGTTCAATCATGTTCTTTAAAAATATAGAAATGCATAGACAAAAGACAAAAAGAAAGGAATAATAATAGGAATAAATAACAAAAAAATAGTAAGCCAATAAACAAAAAGAAACGAATAATACAATCTTGTTCTCTCTTTTTTTTTTCATGATAGTTCCGCTGAAATCATTGTAGCTGATGGTGTTGAAGCAGTTAACTTTCGTCGTACAGATAATTTTGATGAATTCGTTTGGCATATTCGTTGTGTTTGATTTGAATATTCTTTAGATGATACTGATAGAGAAGTAGAGATATTTGTATCAATATCACACGGTAGAATGATTGATGAAGATTCTTCTTCAGTTATCATCATTGAATCTTCGATTGATGAAATAATTGAATCAAGAACAGATAATACTTCACTATCTTCAAATTCAATCTGTGATATTATTGATGATAAAAGAAATGTTATAATGGATAGATCATGAGAATTATTTTGTTGATTTATAGGATATTCTAAAAAAAAAATATTCAATATACAAATAAAATTTAATAAACATATGTTATAAATCTTACCAAATTCTTCTTGTTTTTTTTCGGCTTGTAATCTTGTTATTGTTTCAAAAAAATGATTTCGTACACGATTTTGATTAAATTCAAGTCTTCCT